AGGCTCCAGATTTCGCTAATAGATGTCTAAACCTTTGTGCTATCTATGAGCAAAATCTTCAGACTTGGGTAATATTTTTCTGGATAAAATATTGGGTTAGCCGTTTTTAAAAATCGGCTCAAATCGGGCCATTTAACAACACTAATTAGAATTTTTTTTAGATGTTTATGAATAAATAATAGCCTCTTTGACAGAGTAAAGCAATTCCGATGACGCAATCACATTTTCAATTTCTGAGGGATTGCTATCTAGAATAAAACAATATGATTTATTTTAGGATTATTTATTTTGAGAATAATCTTAAAATGTACACATGAAACTTGCATAGAAATGCAGGCAATTGGAAATGATTTAGCAATGGTGATTAAATTGTTCCAACATACAAAAAATAAATTCCAAAGATTAAGGGGTAAATTATTATTCATGTATTTTAATTACATTTTCTAATTAAGCAAATGGTGATAGTATATTATATGGATAAGAATAATGTTACAACCGATATTTATAATATTAAGTCAATATTTAAATTGGATCAAAAAAAGTTTGATAATTATATTGATCAACAAAAAGAAAAGTTTATGAAAAGTATATTTAAAAATAATATATATTTTTTTAGTAAAAAATGAAAATTTTTACCCAGTGATTAATATGATGATTGAACAATTAAATGAAAGATTTAATTACGAATCATTAAACTTTTTAAATCAGATTTCTATTTTTAATCCTGCAGGATTAGCAGATAATGAGAATATAGAAATTTCTAAGATATCTGAAATTGTGTGTTTATATAATTTTGATGCACAGAAAATTATAGATGAATTTTCCAATTTTAGACCATTATACTTAGATTCCTTATCTATTATTTTTAGTAAAGATTAAATCAATATTAGAAAAAATGATACCTTATATGATGAAAGTTATTAATTTTATTAACAATTATAATATATGTTTACAGGTGAAAACATTATAAATGATAGTAAAATGACCGAAACAAATAGATGGCTGAAATATTCATTTATTCTACCATATAGATTATTAATTAAATCAAGTTCTTTTCCTTATCTTAAAAAGTTATATAAATATCTTACCATCCCCACCACCTCATTCTCTGCTGAAAGAGCTATAAGTAAAGTCAAAATTGTTAAAACACATATTCGAAATAAAATCTCTGATTCTTTTTTAGAAATTTTTTTATTAACATCAAGTGAAATTGATATATATGATACATTTAAAACAGAAGATATTATTACAGATTTCGCGTTAACTTCTAAAAGACTATCTAATCTTTTAATTGGATAATCCTTTTTTTTTAAATATTAAACAGCACTAAATTTAGACATTTGGCATTATAATTCCCTTTTTTCAATATTTGAGTAAATTTGGATTACTAGTCCCTTATTAGTTAGTCATTTTTAATTAGTCTTTTTCTGCACATATATTTATATTCCTTGTGTTATATATATCTTTAACATTAAAAAAAATTATTATGTAGCAATTATAATATCCATTTTTTTTAAATATTAAATAGCAATAAATTTAGACATTTTAGTATAAATACTTAAAAAAAAACTTCTTCATCTTCATTTAGTGTGATAATATTATGTAATGGTTGTGGTAGATTTATCTTAAGAGTATCTAATGGAGAGTCAATTTCCTTAAAAGTGTTTAAAATTATATATTGATCACTTAGATATGATATAAAAAGCATGTATAAAAATCAAAAAATAGTTTAACCTTTTGAAAATATGTTGCAATTGATTTATTTTTTTTAAATTGAGTATTGATTCCGTTAGTTATTTTGAGATTATTTGCATTTGGACCAAGTTTGTTATAAACCTTATCTTTTTTAATTGCTATTACCTCAAACTTTACATCACTATTAGGATGTCTTGTTTTGTAATATAAATTAATTTTGTCTTTTCTAATCTTATTGGAGGTGCAGCCTGTAGCATTTTACTTTGTAATTTATCTTATTGCTTGGCATCTAAATATCCATTTTAAAAAGATGATTTAATAAAAATATCTATAATTTAATGATGTAATAATATATTAATAAAATAGATGTTTTAAAAATGGTGTAATATGATTAAAATCTACATATGAAAAATTTTTTATTATTATTTATAGATTCCATAAAAGAAGAAAAGGCAATTATCATTCATAAATTATTAATAAAAGGTTCAAGTAGCGGACTTAGCCTATTTAATATAACATTTGCAAATATTTTATATACCACCGAATTTAGTGCTATATTCCTCTCCAATCTTCAAGAAATTTAGGATCTTTCGTTTTAGAGAGGTTAATTAAAGTGGCAGTAATCCAATCATTCGGACACACCCGTTCAAACCAAACTCTGGATATGATAGGCAGAAGAATCTCTGCACATAAACTAGAGTCAGTCTTCAGGTATTCACTATACAGTAAATCTTGACCACAAGCTTTATGATTCTTCAGTTTTTTAATTATTCCAACTAGTTCAGCTCTAGTTGGGTGGAAAATCCTGGCATTCTTTGAGGGAGATTGTAATGTAAATGAACTTTGTTGGTTTTGTGGAAACTGACTGTTCGAGATATCGTTAAAGGTTAATCTCTGTTGAATATTATTTAAACTAAGTTGTGGGGGCCAAAATTTAGAAGTAGAGGGATGTTGATCTTCCAATGTATCGATAAAAGTTTGGGCAATGGATGAACTTTGTTGAGCATTAGTTAAGGTTCGTGGAGGCCAAACATTCGAAGTAGAAGGAAGTTGATCCGTTAAGTGATGTGAGGTAAGATTATGTTTAGATTGAATAATGTTATCATAATTATCGGAATAAGAATTATCATAACTAGAGAAAGAAAGAGTTGATGGAGGCCAAACTTTTGAAGTGGTAGGAGATTGATCAAGTAAATTAAAGGTGGAAGGACTATGATCATCAATAGAATTTACAGAACTTACATGGTCACTAAACAAATTAGAATAATGATTGTACCAAATGTCCATTTGGGTTAGTTATCAGGGTATTCTGATGCCAGAGATTTGTTATGGGAAAATATTCGTGGTATTTTTACTGAGGCGGCGGCCATGTCCTTACCAGAAATAGATGTTTATCCGGATTGGATTTCGACTGAATCGAAAAGTCTCTTAGTTAATTTAAATGGGAAAGGCCACTATAGAAGAAATAGGGCTAAATACATATTAGATGATATTAGTCATAAACTTAGGAGAGACAAACGTAGATACTTGGAACGCCGTAGGTAGAAATAAATAACTTGTTTAACAAAAATGACTCTTACAAGGTTTTCAGACTACTAAAATATTTTACATCTGGCGGAAACAACGTATATTTAAATTCTGGCATCAGAATACCCTGATAACTAACCCAAAAACCCAAATGGACATTTGGTACAATCATTATTCTAATTTGTTTAGTGACCATGTAAGTTCTGTAAATTCTATTGATGATCATAGTCCTTCCACCTTTAATTTACTTGATCAATCTCCTACCACTTCGAAAGTTTGGCCTCCATCAACTCTTTCTTTCTCTAGTTATGATAATTCTTATTCCGATAATTATGATAACATTATTCAATCTAAACATAATCTTACCTCACATCACTTAACGGATCAACTTCCTTCTACTTCGAATGTTTAGCCTCCACGAACCTTAACTAATGCTCAACAAAGTCTTGTCTCACATCACTTACTGGATCAACTTCCTTCTACTTCGAATGTTTGGCTCCCACGAACCTTAACTAATGCTCAACAAAGTTCATCCATTGCCCAAACTTTTATCGATACATTGGAAGATCAACACCCCTCTACTTCGAATTTTGGCCCCCACAACTTAGTTTAAATAATATTCAACAAAGATTAACCTTTAACGATATCTCGAACAGTCAGTTTCCACAAAACCAACAAAGTTCATTTACATTACAATCTCCCTCAAAGGATGCCAGGATTTTCCACCCAACTAGAACTGAACTAGTTGGAATAATTAAAAAACTGAAGAATCATAAAGCTTGTGGTCAAGATTTACTGTATAGTGAATACCTGAAGACTGACTCTAGTTTATGTGCAGAGATTCTTCTCCCTATCATATCCAAAGTTTGGTTTGAACGGGTGTGTCCGAATGATTGGATTACTGCCACTTTAATTAATCTCCCTAAAACGAAAGATCCTAAATTTCTTGAAGATTGGAGAGGAATAGCACTAAATTCGGTGGTATATAAAATATTTGCAAATATTATATTAAATAGGCTAAGTCCACTACTTGAACCTTTTTTTTATAGATTCCTTGGTCTCGTTTAGGAAAGGCAGAAACACTTGTTGCCAAAATGGCGAGTCCAGCTGATCTGCTATTTTAATGAATGAACAATTATATTATGATTGTAACATTGGTTGATGTTTAGTAATCTATCTCTATTATAATAGGTCTATTATTATATTATAAATATTTAAAGCAAACTTTATTCACATATAATTCAAAAATGCAGTAGATAACATTCTAAATCAACTGATGCCTACCCCCTTTTAGGATATTTGGATGCAAACTGTTCCTACCCCCCCCCCCCCCATGTAGACGCTGGATAATTCAAAACAATTTAGATTTTTTAGGTGATGATACAAAAAAAACTTCTTTTAAAAAATATAGGTCAAAATTTTAGGAAATTAATCGCGTTAAAAAAATTTTTTTTTATAGTTTGCTTTGTATACGTAATATGATTGTATTTATGGATGAAGTATTGATGGATGTCACGTCATAGGTAATTACGTTCTCTGGGGTTGAGGAGGCCATTCTTTACTACTCGTAACGAGTCATGAAAGGTGTTAATTTATTATATAATACGCTGGGCTTCTTTATCGAAAAATCGCATTTTCATTATATAAAATAATTACCAAATAAATTTAAATTTTACACGGCTGGATGATTATAAGAAAAAGGTTAGTATCATTTAAAACTTGTTCAAATCAAGCAAACTTATATCTTATTTTCTGGATCTCAGAAAAAAAAAGCTTACCATGAACGATTTGATAGCCAATTCTGGTATCAGGGGAGAGTAAAAATGTAGCATAGCGGCTTGAGCGTATTCCGTTATCTGCGAGCAAAAGAAAAGGCATTAAATTGACATATACTAATAATTAAAACCTTTCTAAAGACGTGGTACCGCGATTCGATCCAGATTTCTGCCTATAAATATTTTAAAAAATTTACTGATTATTTCTCAGCATTCATTACTATTTCCTGTTCAATATAATCTATTAGAGAGGAAGGGTGGGAGGAGGGATCAATTAAAAGATTTTGCCTAATGGATGGCATATACTGCTAAAATAAATTCTGTCTAATTTTTTTCTAGCCAGTTTATCATCGATTTACATCGAATCAATCATATCAGGTGTTGTAGTTGTTCCAAGTGAGAAAATAAAAAAAATATATTCCCAACGTATTTAGCGGTCATTCTATACGAATCATAAAACAAGAAAAGTTCGATTAAAATCTAAGAAAATATTAGTAGGCAAATGGTCTAATTTAAGATATTTCGTGTTTTGATTTCCCCATCCATTTTTTATAACCCTTAGGGAGTTATAATTTTATAGTGTTTAAATTAACTAATGCCATTTTTTAAGATTATTTTTTTTAACTTTAACTGATTTGATAAGATTAGGTTAAATTCAGTGATGTATCGATTATCGGTCTTTTAATTTTAACCAGACACGGGCGGGGCTGTTTATTTTTTTTTTAAATATGCCAGGGTCAAGTCTAAAAAATTTTTTTTTAAATACCCATACCGGGCCGAAAATTTTTATAAAATCAGGGCCGGGCCCTGCAAATGGTACCTATCCCGTCAAAGGGTGTTTGATTTTATGTGTTTTTCATAAAAATATTTAATCATGTCGTTTATTTATCTACATACAAAAAAAATATTATCGTTTTCGAGTAGCGTGTGTCTAGTCGGTGCGTGCATATATCACGTCTACGGTATAAATTTGAGTTGGAATTCAGCAAAGACCTAATTTTATTTTTAAGAACCCAAATAGGTGGTTCTGTGCTACGAGGTCTTATATAGAATATCGAAAGGGGGCCAAGTGATCTCGCCATTTAATGTTTTAATATTTAATTGTTGTTTAGCAAAAACATGATAGGCGTTTAGCGTGATTTTGTTTATCAAATGGTCTGACGGGGATGTATCTCACTAGTTTACTCGAAATTGATAATAAAATTTTTATAAATTATTATTTAAAAAAAATTCCGGCCTATATTAAGCTAATGAATCGATCAAAAAAAATATATACAAATGAGAATAGTGATGGGAAATGATGGGGTTTTAATTTTAATTTCTTTATACTATGAAATGTATTTTAATTTTATAAATAAAAATATGCTTTATATGAAAAAAAAACTTATACTGTATATCAAATATGTGGTGTGGGGCATCTCTAGTTAAAATCGATGGTAATAACTCCGTAAAAGGATCTCCTCAAAAACTAGTAAAACAGTTTTAACTGGAAATTAGTTTGAAATCTTAAGTGGTAAAGACAAGAGAGGCGGTAATCATTAGGCGATTTGTCGCCTTTTCATTGTTTATTATCAAAAAGCTTAGGAAAAGCGTTAGCCGAATTTCTCGAATTAAAAGAGTTCCGCAAACTAAGTATTGATTTTAAACTTACGCTTAGTGCGTTGGTGGCGGCGGAAGGCACCTCGGACCAGTACCAGACGTTGCCTCCGTAGCTTTCGCCCCCGCTGACGATATCATCACTTTCAAAACGGGAGGACACTGCGTACCGCTCGTCGTAAGCCCGAACTACGACGGCTTCCACTATAAGACTACGAAGGCAGACGCGCGCTCGAAGGACCTGGCCCACTACTACGTCCAGAACGACAACACTGGATTGGAGAGCTGGAGTCATGTGCGGTTGCGATAGTGGGGGATAAGGAGGGCGTCCGGGACCGGGCCCTTTTGCGGTAGGAATTTGAGGGGGAACTTGGGTGGCGTCATCCACGGGAGGAGGTGGTGGAGCGGCTGAATACGAGATGGCGGTAGAGGGAGCGCGGATTGAGACGGACATGTCGAGAAAGAGGCGGTTAAGGCCTATGACCATAGTCTCGATTATCCTGAATAAATGAATGGTATATTGTTCGGTTTATCTGATATATATGCTCAGCCACTCGCGTTATATACAATAATAAAATTATTAAAAAATTGTATAAATTTTCATATTGAATCAACCAGAGATTAATTCTAATCCCTTCCCGTATTGGTCCGGGGTTTTTCTAACATAGGACATGGAATATGATAGAATTTTCTGGGGTCTGCATGGAACCAGTTATTTATGGAATATATATATTATATACTCCTCGCCCTTAATTTATCTCATTTCTTTTAACCTCATTATACCCAAAAATAATTAGCCAAAGTATGCAAATTAGATAAACGAGTGTGAGTCGCAGTGTACATATTCTGATAAATGAGCTTTGGGAAGTCATTCTAAAATAACATACAGTTAAAGCTGAGAGGGAAAAAAAATTTACAATTTTGATAAAATTTAGTTAGAAAATTGCGCTCGGGTCTTTTGCTATTATTGATAATGATGAAAGATAAACAGCTCTAGAATCTGAATTCCTATACTCAAAATTGGAAACTTTTTATTTCAGCCCAATGACTCCAGTAGATTTCCTGTTGGTGATGATTTTTTTTTTTAAAAAAGTATACTTTTTAAATCACTTACAACCTGTATTATTTTTATCACCAACTTTAAACTTCTTCAATTAATTATGATCAAATGTTAAAATAAATCTTTTAACCATTTACATGTATTGAACCTTTTTTAGTTTATTATATATATTTTTTTTTAAATAAATTTATTTAAATGTTGCATATTTAAATATTTACTTTATATTTTTGTTTTTTTGTTAAACTTATTTTTGTTTTGTAATATAATAACATTCTTATATTTTTGATTTTATAATTTAACCTTTTCTTATTAACTTATTATTTAATATTCTAATTTTTAGTTTTGTAAAAAGTTATATATTATAAATATACGAGAGAAAAAGATAATAAAATATATAGTTAAAATAGTTTCACCTTATTAATAAATTATTTACATGGTGCCTCGGGTACCTCTTGGTGGGATATACTAAAAAAAACTCCTTAGTCATAATCCCACTAAGATGGTGTAACATGCAAATTTTTATTATATTTATACTTCAACATATTTCAACAAACTCTCCAACACCATGTTATGTTTCAAATAATTAAAATCCCCTGGACCATGTCCGTGTATGATGTACTTTTTGAGTTGACTGAAAACCCTGATGTAGATTACTTTCGTGGGTCTAATACAGGAGATGTTTTCTTTCAGTTCTATAGTTTAAAAGAAATGTTGAAATACCACGAAGCTCTTAATGGGAAATTTTGTATTTTTGGCGACTCGGAATTCATTGAAATCTCACGTATCTTTATTAAAACATAAATTATAACGCATTTTGGAAATATTATTAATTATTTAAATAAACAATTTATAAAGTTATTAATGGATATTAAACCCACTGATGCACCGTATAAATTTCCCAAGTTAAGCGGACCTTTAACTGAAGTCTATAATTAGTTGTGTACTTGATTATTTCACGACCAGCACATCATCTGACTCTATTAAGATTAATACATTATTTTCTAATTTGACAGTTGATGTGTTTGATAATATTAAATCCATATGGTAGAACATTGATATCTTAGTCATGATCCCAAATTAATTCATTATTTATATATTTTATTTTTATATATGTCAAATAAAATAATTATAATTGAAGGTGATATTTCAAAAACAGGTATCGATGATAGTGAGGATAATTTTAATCATCCTATTTATAGTATGGATCAGGGTTGTTAAAGTAGCGAGCTATTAGTAGCGCGCTGACTTTTTTGGTAGCTATAGCTAATAACGGCTACTTTTTTTGTAATTAATTTTTTAGCGCGCTACTTTTTTTGAATTAAAAAATAAAATGAAGGTGAGTATAAACATGAAAATTCAAATAAAATATCATAATTAATAATAATTTTTATGATTTATTATTTAATTTTGAAATTAAAATATATTTCCAATTTGTAATTTATATTTTCATTTGTATTATAAACCTAAATCAGGTGTTAATAATTTAAAATGTCATCACCTATGGATATCCAAATCGTTGAAAGTGATTCAGACAATGATATTAATGAAATAGAAATATCAGGGGAGAAAATATTCTTAATAGCTATAATACAAATTACCCATTCCCTATGATTTGAAAAAATTTTTAAAATAAATATAAAAACCAAAACTGGCTTCAAATTTATTTGTTTAAAATGTAAAAAAAATATTTACTCAAATCAATCCAGTTATAACTTCAAGAAACACCAAAAGGTAAATTGTCATTTTTACATTCTAATAGTATTTATTTTATAAGACTGTTCATACCAATAGCTTTAAGGAGAAACATTTAAATAATTTTGGTATAGGCGACTCTACATCCAAAAAGACTAATTCAATTCAAACCAAATTAATTAATAATCCAAATGCCAATATTTCTCAGAAATTGGTTGATAAAGTTATTGTTGATTTTATAATTGATATTCAACCAATGTCCTTGGTTGATACTCCATCATTTACCATGATGATTAAAACTCTATCCCCTGATATAACAATTTTATGTCGCCAGACACTAATGAATAAAATAGCAGATAACTTTAAAGTGATGAAAGATGCTTTAATAGTAGTTATCAGATATCATATATATATATATATATATACCACGGCAGATAGTTGGACATATAACACTAGGTAAAAACTTATAAAATGCAAAAAATTACCATAAATATTTATTTTTATTACATAAATTTTTTTATAATCAAAACTAACTATTTTAATATTTATAAATGTTGGTTTTTATATATTTACTATACAATAACATTATAAGAAAAATTAAACAAATTTGTTTCTAAATTTTTTTTATAAAATGTAGCTTAAAAAGTAGCTAAAGTTACTTTTAAAAAATAATAGCTAATAGCAAGCTACTTTTTTTTGATAAATAGTGGTAGCATGCTAATTTTTATAGCGATAGCGCGCTACTTTTAAAAGTAGCGATTAACAACTCTGGTATGGATATAGATTCGACCACAAATGCACTCTACATAGAACTTGATAATATTCATGATATAGTATTATCTAACTTCAGTAATAATTGGTTATTAAAAAATATTAATCATTTGATACAACATTTCTAATAATTGTCAAATGGTTTGACAACAAATTTGTTCATGTTTTCAGATCCCTGGGTCTTGTATTTTAAAAAATATAATTAAGGAATGGGATGTGTAGATTTACACGTTATACTAGTGGAATGCTACAGAGTGGATATCAAGGTTAGAAGGTTTTATCTTCGAATAATATTTCATGAATGCATGTTTTTCGTATAGAAGATATTTAATTTAAAAAAATGAAAAATCTTTTATAAAACTGTTAAACAGTGACACTCATGTATTTTATCTTAACTTTAAAAAATTGTTTTTTTTACATCCTTAAGCTATTTATGGCGTAACTTAAAATATTTCAAATGTAATAAGAAGTTTCTTTCTTTTTGTTAAAAACAACTTTTATATTTTAAAAAATCAATTTGCTTATAAACTAATATTAAATTTTATATATTTTTTTTAAATATACTATATATAACTTTATTTAGCTAATTATTTATATAATACAATATAATTAATATTTGTATATATATTTATATACATATAAAAAAAACATTTTAAAAAAATAAATAAATATAGTATTGGAGGATATGTTTGTGACGGTGTTAATAATAAAAAAAATATATTGAGGTTAGGAAGGATAATTATATTTTATAAATCAATTTACTTAAAAAAACGAATGTTCAATTTTATATTTTAACTTTAAAAAGATCAATTTATTATAAACGACATTAAATTAAATTGTCAATATATATAGGAAACTATTTTGAGTTATATCATGATTATATTTTTTTAAATTTAAATATCAATAAATTGACATAAAAATTATATTCTTGAAGTCTGCACCATTAGAGGTCTTTAGAAATTTTAAAAACTTATAACATTTAAATCTCAAATAGTTACTGCTTTCTTAATAGCAGGTAAAATTAGTAAAAGAAAAATCGGGAAACCATCAAATGAAACTCCTGAAATACAAAAAGGATCTAACCTCAGATACTATCAGACGTTAGATACGACAATACAGGGCATTGGCCAGAAGCTACCAACACTCGATGTAAACTATATGTTAGCGCATATTCAAGGACTAAGAGTGAAAAATGTGAAATTTATTTATGCTTTAACCAGGATAAAAATGAAATGTATTTAAGCTTTAACCAGGATAAAAATTGTTTTAAAACATTTCATAATAAATAAATAAATATTTTTTTATATATGCACTGAGCTCAATGATGTCAAATTGTATCATGATTTTTTTTTTACCTGTATACTATGAAATAAAAGTTGAAATAAAAATTTTACATCCTTGTATATAAATGAAGATTTTTTTATAAATTTTTTTTTAATTTTTATTTTACAAAGTCGAGCTATAAAGGGTTAATATTTAAAAAATAATTTAATTTATACATTAAATTTAAAAGAGCGGTGGAGCGTTCCTCAATTCCAGCCTTAAAAGGAGCTAGCTCCCACTCTCCCACTCCTGATTTTTAAAAGGAGGGGTGCTCCAGGTGTTTTTGAAAGTGTAGCGGCGCTCCAGAAGGTAAAATAATAAGCAATAAAGGGCACCATCCACTACATTGTAAAAATTTCTGTGGCAGTCAACCAAGGCAATCAATAAAACCCTACCAAAAATTTTCAAAAAATTAATATACAATCAACCATTTGGTCCCCTCTGGGAAATTAAAAAAAAGACCAGATAGTATTACCTCTCCTAGTCTAGGAACTAGAGCTGTATTGATTCTTCAGTTAAAAATCAAACAATTCACACTTTGCCCTGGTCTATACAGAAACATTAAAACATACTTACTCTGGCCTTCAAGATGTAATTTCAGGCCCATAGTTACTAATACTTTGGGAACAAGTTGCCCCAATTTGATAGCCTAAGAAAAAATAGTAACTCTGGGCATGACAGTAGATCTCTTTGGAGATCTGTCAAATCTAGCTACCTAAGTACTCCTGTTTTAGATCACCCCACACCTTTCTTATAAATTTTATTTATTTTACTTCATTTTTTAGCCAATATTTTAGGAAAATTTTTTTTTAGTCATTTTTTTAAAAAATATATTGTTTTTGTTATTTTTTATATGAGATATTGCTATTAAGAGTTTATTTTGGAGAACAACCACAAAATTAACAAATTAAATATCATATTTTTTCAGAAGTCCAATTAAAAAAAATGGGTTGGACCCATGGATTACAATCAGATTGAATAATTTACAGGTTAGACAAATGTTTTTAAAATATTTTCTTAGATCCGATCAAATCTAGAAAAAAGGCCCAATGTAGAGCTCTAATTGGGTCCTTTCCACATTTACCATCCTGAGGGGAGGAGGTCAGAAAATTAATCTTGTCCAGTTTACTCCAAAATTTAGAAATTTTAGCATGGATGAGATAAACTTAACCTATATTTTCTAACATTTTTTATATGATTATATAAAATTAAGAAAATTAATTATTTTTATAATGTAAATTAAATTTGATTTGGATATAGATTCAATCATTAATTCTTTATAATTAATAAATTAATAACCAAATATAAAAACTGATATTCTATTCTATAATTAAACAACTTACCTCTTTTATTAAAAAAAATTGATATATTTATAAATTAAACTAGTAAATTATCATGGTAAAATAATTTTAATAGATTACTGTGGAGAAACATTGTACAATGATATTTGTCTATTCTTCTTAATGTTAAAGATATTATTTGTAGTTGACCTTTTGAGAGAATTCTGAGCAGTTAATGAGGCAGCTATTGCAGAATTTTCAGAAAGCTAATAAATATAGAATATTTTTATATTATTTTGTTTTTTACTATATTTGCCCAACGATATGCCTGTAATGTTGACTTATATAAATTATTTTTTTCTGAAAAAGGATCTTGACTTAAATAGCTCAAATTTCCTAAACTCATATTTGCTGGATTGAGCACACTAATATTTTTTCCCAATGTCCTATATTTCCTTTATTTATTATGTTATAAGTTAATATATAATACCCATATAAAGCTAATATATGCTTTAATTGATTCTGAATTTTATTGATATTACTAGCTATAGGTGTTTCTTTTCGCAAACTAAATGTTTCTAAAAGAGTTTTTACGCAAAATTTCAAATCATATAATGATTTTAAGCTGTTATTTAACAAATCAGATGTAGATTCTTCGTGCATGAGAAGGATATAAAATTTATTTTGTTAGAAAATAATGTGATTTCTAACATTAACAGGTGATTAAAAATTTGAATATTATCAAAAATAATTATAAACCAGATTTATCCATTTCTATGCAAAGTAGAAACTCTACAATGGTTAAAATAATTCCATGAAAAAATCGATAATGGTTAGATATATCCCAATTCAAATTTTTAAAATTTCAAAAACTTATATGAATATGGAATGGGTTATTAATTATCTTCAAAGTTAGATATAAAGAACTAGTTATATTGATAAGTGATTGTTTTGTATTGGCATTTTTTATTTTACTTAATCTTGTATTTATTTCTAGGTTCATGATGATAAACAAAATAAAATTAACATTGCCAACATAATCCTCCCATAATCAAATTTTTATTTAATCAGGCTTGGGCTTTTACCTCTCTTAATTTCCTATGGCCGTTAAGTAAGTGACATTGCCACTTGCTCGCACAAGTAATAGTGGCCTACCCATATAACGTGGTTCTTCTCTTAATCATTCCCCGTCTTTTTATCGCGATTTGATAGACTTTCTAAGAAGAACAAGCGTTGCTCTGTTATATATATAATGCATATTATCACGTATCATAATGCGGTACTATGCTAATAGCGGGAAGTGTGGCTAACTTTTTACAAAGGGTATCTAAAAAATTCTAATTTGTTTTAAGAGCACCCATAACAGGGGCGCTACTAGCCTTTACAATCTCAAGAGGCTCATGAAAATATTTTAAAGTTATTTTGAAAATTAACTTTTTTTTTAGATAACTATCAAATATTACCTTTTTTTTAAGTTAACATTATACAAAATTACCTTCTTTTTTAGCTAACATTATCAAAATTACATTTGGTAAAAAAATATTTTGAGGGGACTCTTTAATTAGGAGGCTCGAGCACCTGCGTCCTCTCTAGTGACACTGCTGCCCCATAACCTACCTTTGCGGACTTTCGGACCTTTTCTGCCCGTCTTTTAGCCTGATTCACGTCTCTTAATGTAATTACTTTTATTATATAGATATTCATCAATCAAATCATTTATAACATGAACATGGAATCTTACCAGAGTTACCAGATTCATTCCAAATTTAAAAATATATTGTTTTATAACAAATATATATTTTTTCCTCTATAATTATTTCTTTATTTAAATAAATTTATCTAATATACAATAGTAAAATAAAGTGTGATAGTATTAATTTTGTACATAAACAGTACATTATGTCATAAATTAATTTTCATTTTTTGTTACATATTCCTTAAAATCTTTATAAGCATAATTAATATTATGTTCGATCATTAATTCCGCTTCTAAGGCTGATAAAGATAACCAAATACGAATTTTACCCCAGAAATTTTTAATTAAGCTAAATATGCCCTCTGAATCAACGTGAGTAAAGAGAATATAATATTACATTTTTTAAAAATATGGCGCAATGTTTTTTGAAAAAAAGTGCCTGTTTCATGAGGCTTTGATATATTATTATTTGCTCTAAATGCATTTAAAAAGAAATGAATTACATAAATCATCTAATTCCATATCTTTTATATTAAAATTGATTATCATTAATTTAACTTCCTTGGATTTGAATTCATTTTATCATCATAATACTTAGAATTTTCTAATGACGAAGCTTCTATAAAAGTAAAGGAGTCATTGGCAGTGTCTTCCTGACCGAGGTTGGTAGGAGACAAATGTCTCCAAAATATATTGGCATTATAGGGTTTTTTGGGTATATATTTTTTTTGAGGGGGTAAGGTATTAATTTTTTAGGTAAGCAATGATTTGGGAGATAATTTTTGACTTGAATTATATTCTTTTTTAAATTCAAATATTTATACGATTGGCCTGTCTATTAACAAATAAAAAACTATAAATTTTTTCTTTTTAAATTTTAAGCCCTCTTATTAATTTTTTTTACCATAATATTTTACAATTTCACACGTAAAATATTAATATTATTCTTATTTGTTTTTCTAAAAATATGGAGGTTAACATATATGATTAATTTTAGTAATGAATTCCTGTAAGAATATAATGAATCATTTAAAATTTTAGCAAAATACTTTAAATATTATTATTAAAAATAAGATTTTCGATAGGTTAACAAATTTTAACTACATTTTTTAATTCAATAATTAGCATACATCCAAAGTTATTGAAGATTCCCAAATTATATTTTATTTTCATTCAATGAACAATCCTAATGGAATAGCCCAAGCACCATTTTAGTTGCCGATTGATTATTAGCAAAAAATTGAGATTAATTGTTTTTTCTAGCCTAAATAGGCTTGAAAGGATTTACATAAAATTTTGTTGTGAGTTTATAAGTGCTAGCTTATTATACGATTCTTTTTTATTAATTTCACTATAGCATCGTGGTTGTGAATATCGCAGCCTTCGGGGGCGGAATTTTATTAGGGGGGTAGGGGTAGATCTTGTAGGGGGTTTGCTTCCATCAAATTTCTGCCAGGTAGATGCCGTATATAGCCCCTTAAAAATTAGAATTTATTTTATACATAATTATTTATTTTTTTTACAAATAAATAAAATAATCCCACAAACTAAATATTTTTTATTATTCATATTTAAATTTTGAAAGTATACACTTCCAGTTTATCATTGGAAACTTGCTCTGTTTTATATCGGCTACTTTAATCAATTTTGAACCGTTATGAAATGTGTAGATAATAAAAAGACAGTTATCATAATTCATTCTCTTCAAAAATATTGACGAACATATTTAACGTTTGAAAATAACTTTGATCCAGAAAAAATGAGATTAAATAACTACCAATATTCATCTCTCACTTCTAAAACATTGTCAGCCGTGCTATAATATATTTAATCTAAATATCAATGTTTAAATATAATTAAGATAATATATCAAAATTCTTAAAAATGTGTCTGAGATATTTAAGGTTTAGAACTAGAAAAAATTAAGATCGTTTTACAGTAGCCTGATAATTTGAAGATCATTCTGAACAAGATGGTTGCATTATAGGTCGAAATAATTGGAATTAGATTTGCATTGATTGAAATGGTTTTCACAATTCTATCCAAAGATGAGATAAATACCGCTGTAATGATTGTAAAGTATAGTTCTTCTAAAAACAAAATAAAATCAATATTAGAATAATTTTAATTAAAAATCTAATCCGCTATATATTACTTATTTAGGAAAATGGACACATGTATATGCCTAAAATTTTGTTATCCCTAGAGTCAAGTAAAATATTTACGGGATTAAACACGTGTCAGTTTATAGACCATTGTACGAAAATCGTCAAAGCTATAAACGAAAAGAAAATCCATATATATTAATTTTTTAAATAAATATTTCTATTATTATGGCTGTTAAATATCCTTTCAAACCTAATTTATATTAAAAATCTGCGGAGTCATGCCTGCTGGTCAGTTTCCTGACCGGAACTTGTGAAAAATATTATTTACGAACCTGCCATTATTTTGTAGCTTTTTTTTGAGTTTTCTTGCGTTTTTACTTCTTATCTTAGCGGATAAGTTGTAAAAAATTATTTTAAAAGTCGGGTCAGAAAAAAATATTAATGGGTCAGTTCAGGTCGGCTTGACGTGACTAAAAAAAGAATTTAACATTTGATAAATAATTTGTATTAAATTAATATTAAATAACGACTTTGTAATAAAAGGTGTAGCTCCGAGAGAAAGATATATGTATGTTATTAAATAAGTAAATGGTCGATGGTTGGATTCCCATTGGGAAAAATTAAAAAGATACCAGGTATTTATTATATATTTTTTTAGGAATAAATTGATTTTTGCTGTTCTCCTTTATAGTTAAAGCATAGCATCGCTCAGCTTTAATTGAAAAATACATTATGTTAGATCATACCACTATATTTTTTTTAATTAAGCCGGCAAGCCAAATCTTGTGATTGCACTCGCCCCTTGACGTCCCTTACTCTCGATGATCCTAGGACTTCGAACAAAACAGTTCTTCTATGATATATTATTAATAAGTGTTAGGTTAATTATGTTAGAGACTTTAGAGACCAAGGAAATATTGAAACTCCTCAAAAGTTTGACAAAAATTATTAACCAAGCAAAATGACAAGATCTTGTAATCTTTTACAAAAATGCAACGTAACAGTCATGAAAAATGATGTAACAATCTAATCACGCATAAAAATTTTAGAATTAAGCATCATTATTTGATTTTTAGTTCGTTATAATAACGATTTTTTTAAAAATTTTATACTAATTAAACTTTTCAGCAATCTATTCAATGGCAAAAAAAAATAATATAGTCCCTATGAGCGTCTTAAAAAATTAATTAACATTTTAATTATATCGCTAAAATTTTTTTAAAAACAAATAGCCTCCATTCACAATGGTTCTATTCCTAGACCAACCTTTAAAAGAGGGCATCCATATATGAATCCAGTTATTGTGGGCAATTTAGCATTTTAAATTGAATCTAAAAGATCCTATATAATTTGATATTGGTGAGGAGGTATCAAGTAATTATTTTTGCTAACTCGCGATTAATATTAGATTAAGTCATTTATTAGATTGGAATAAAAGTGGTGTAAATTCCTGATTTCATGGTTATATTTAAAAAAAAAGGAAGACTTTTTGAAGTCTTTAAATGAGGGATCTTTTAGGGTTTGTTTTTATTTTAGTCAAAAGGCAAGTTGGGAAAGAAAAAAAATATATATTTAAAGACAAAATATATTGGGATATACGGGGAATCGACGTTCGCCGATAATTTGGTGTTTTGTCAAATGCAAAGGAGATTTCTAAAAATTTAATTGAGAATATATATTTTTTAAATGTCTATGTCTTTAAGTATATATTTTTTTCTTGCCCAACTTGCCTTTTCAAAGATCACTTTTTCCCATAAGACTTCAAAAAGTTTTTTTTTTTAAATATAACCACGAAATCAGGAATTTACACCGCTTTTATTCCAATATGTTGACATTTTTTTAATCTAATAAATGACTTAATCTAATATTAATGGCTAGTTTTACTTAGCTATTATACACAAATTTGGCGAAAATAATTATTTAATACCTCCTCACAAATATCTAATTATATAGGATCCTTTAGATTACATTTAAAATATTTGATTACCCCATAATAATTGGATTCATATATGGGTGCCCTCTTTTAGGGGTTGGTCTAGGAATAGAACCATTGTGAATGGAGGCTATTTGTATAAAAAAAAATTAAATGCGATATAATTAAAATGTTAATTAATTTTTTAAAACGCTCTCCTTCAACATAATGTTATCTATACAAATAAAATTTACCTTTAGGATTTATATTACTCTTTTTTTTGTCCATTGAATAGATTGCTGAAAAGTTTAATTAGTATAAAATTTTTAAAAAAATCGTTATTATAACAAACTAAAAATTAGATAATGATGCTTAATTCTAAAATTTTTATGCGTAATTAGATTACATCATTTTTCATGACTTTTACGTCATTTATATGCTTTTTTTTGTAAACGATGTTTTGCAAGATCTTGTCATTTTGCTTTGTTAATAATTTTTGTCAAACTTTTGAGAAGTTTAAATATTTTCATAGTAAAGTCTCTAACATAATAAACCTAACACTTATTGATAATATATCATAGAAGAACTGTTCTGTTAGAAGTCCTGAGAGTAAGGGACGTAGAGAGGACGAGAGCAATCATAAGATTTGGCGCGCCGGCTTAATTAAAAATAGTATAGTGGTATGATCTAACATAATGTATTTTTAAATTAAAGCAGAGCTATGCGATGTTGCGCTAACTATAAAGGAGACCTAATAATATTTGATAGCAAAAACCAATTTATTCCTAAAAAAAATATAATAAATAACTGGTATCGTTATAATTTTCCAACCTACTTTTCATATACATTGGCTTACCAATAAGAGCATTCTTTGGCCCATATTGCCTCCAGTGTATTATTAACAAGTTATAGGCTTCATACAATGTATACCATCATAATCTAAGGAGATTACTCCAAAAGCCTACAGTTTAAATATTATGTAGGTTTTTGGAGGGTGGTTTTTAACTTTAATTATATTCTTTTCAAATTCAATAATTGATCTGATCTGTCTATTAACAAATAATAAAAAATTATAAATTTTTAATTTCAAATATAATCCTTTTAGCAATTATTCTTTACTATCATATCAACATGTTTTTTGGGAACTTGTAGTCCCACCCCCGTTAATATAATGTTTTATTTTATTTTATATTTTATATTTTAATTTTAATATTATTTTGCCTTATTATTAATTTTTTTTTACCATGACATTTTACGATTTCACATGTAAAATATTAATGTTATTCTTATTTGTTAATTTTTTAAAAAGTATAGATGTTAACATATATGATTAACTTAATAATAAATTTCAGTAAGAATATAATAAATCAAATAAAAATTTTTTCCAAATACTTTAGATATTATATTAATTAAAATAAGATATTCGATAAACAAATTTTAACTATATTCTTTATTTAATAATTAGCAAACACCCAAAGTTATTGAACATTCCCAGATTATATTTTCTCCTCATTCAGTGATCAATCCATATGGTGTGACCCAAACAGCTTTTCGATTGCCAATTGATTATTAGCAAGAATTAGAGATTTAATCGATTTTTCTAACCTAAATAGGCCTAAAATGATGTAAATAAAATTTTGTTGTAAATCAATGTTAGCTTATTATAAGATTTTTTCTTTATTGATATCACTATAGCATCGTGGTTTGGTGAATATCGCGGCTAAAGAGCGCGGAATTTTTTTAGAGGGGTTAATGTAGCCTAGGGGTTTGCCTTCATCAAATTTTCTGCCATGTAGCCGCTGGTCATTGCTTCCTTTGTAATTTATCTTCTTTGTGCTAAGTTATAAAAATTGATACCATTTTTACTTTATTATTATTTGTTAAACGGCTCGATTTGAGTCGATTTTAGGAAAATATCAGAGTTATTAAAAGATACTTTTTAAATGGATCTAGATACAGATACATCGTCTAAAATAATATCTAGATATCGATATTTTAATCAAAAATCTATCTAGATACAGATACAGATATCACATTTTTATATCTAGATACAGGATCTAGATACTTGTATCGAGATCCTTTAACAACTCTGGAAAATATTGTCTTAGCCTCGAAATTTTGTTAATAGATGTCCAAATTTTTGTGCCATTCCACGAGCAAAATCTTCAGGCTTGCATAATTCTTTTCTGGAATAAAATTTTGAGTTGGCAGCTTTACAAAAATCGGCTCAAATCGAGCCTTGTAACAAGGCTAGCTTAGAAGTAAATCCATAATTGCTTATTATTATTTTTTTTTATAATAATAAATTTTTTTTTCCCGGTCATGGGTTAACTTTATTTGAATATTTACTGTTAATATATATGTAAAAAAAAAATTATGCTCATTATGATATATTTTTGGTGTAACAAGCTAGGAACAAAATATATAAAATTGCTTATTTTTTTCAAAATAAGGTGACCATCAGGAAGGTTCTTACATACGTGGGAGACCGTTCGTATTAATGGGTTGCCGTTCGCAGGAGTTCAGGGTATGCTAGGTATTTGGACTAAGCACAATCTATGTAAATAGAGGATATAACTGCTTTACAGGAAAGGCGAAGAGCTATGGATATGTGTAGTTGCTCACCAATCATGAGAAGTCGAGATTTTGAATTGGGAATGACTTCCAATCATTCATAGCTAGAGTTTTAAGTTATGTGAAAGTATTCAACCATTCAACGGAAGTCAATGTCTAAAAAAAATTATTGATAAATTTAAAATTTAAGAATCTTATTTCTTGAGAATTTTACCCGAAAACAAAAACGAATTCCACTTATTTATAAATCTTAATGTTTTGTATGGTTTTGGTTAATAAAAATAAAGAACAATTGAATTCTTATATTTATTGATATTAGCACTAGACCAGAAACTAGAGATTATGTATGTTAAAAAAAAATTATCTATACAAGTGTACGAATTTATCAAACAACCTTTTTACAATGTTTTAAAAATAATATAATATTGTCATAACTGTTAAACTAAGATTTTACAGAGACCTGCAGAAGTACTATTTGTACGGCATGGCCCGGATTTTTTTTTCAAAAATTTTTTGGCCCGGCGAGAGTTATTTTATATACACAGGCCCGGCCCGAATTTTTTAAAAATATATTTTATTTATTTTTGATTTTTGCAGCTAATAATGACGATTTCAAATATTTGGTTTTAAAATATACGGCCCGGCCCGGATATTTTTTTAAAAAAAATTTTAGACCCGGCCCGGGCCTTCAGGTCTCTGATTTTAAAATATTAAAAAAAATATTAAATATATTTTTGTAGAATATAGAATATAGAATATAAATAACAATAAAATAAAACTTTACTAATAATGAGGTTAATGTTAGATATAACATGATGTGGTAGCACTTGTTTATTTTTTAATATTTATTTTTTTTTTTTAAAAAAAGATGAAAGAGTTGTAGTTTTAAAAAGACTAACTCAATTGGTTTATGACAGATAAATGACAAAGGCATTATCCAGCGAATAGGTATTTTGCTTATTTCTAATTTGGGCAGAAACTGGCAAATTAAGTTATAACCAATGACATATAATAATACCTAGACTGACAATGAATTCATTAAATATGTACATTAATGAAAAACAGCTGAGGACGCCATTTTGATTACCCGTATCATTATTAAAAATTTTAAACGAGAGGCCAATTTATTCAGACCCGGGGTTCAGATAATTAATGTTATTCCATATATTTCAAATAAAAACTATTTACCAAAAGTAAAGAAGCTATGAAAACGCAATGGCGTTTTCTGGAGTTAGATAGTAAAGCCCTGTATGCAACTCAGCTTCGGGTTAAAAAATTTTTTAATAGGGTTGTCCTAGGGCTTAAAAATCAAATAAAAAATAGGATTAAAATGAATTATAGTTAAATTAGAATTTTTCTAGGATTAGGCAAAGTGGCAATTTAACTTTATACAAAAATTAAAATGCCTTTTATTTATTTTTTTAAATTTAAATATTTTCGGACTCAGGGCTGGAAGATGTTAGTGCCTAGATAAGTCTTGCTTAAAAATATTGTTCAATTCCTAGAATAAAATTCCAATTTTTTTTAGCGATTTAGAACCCTATCCCTTTAACATTTATTTTTAATATATTTCATTGTTTTTTTTATAAAAAATTTTTAAATATAAAAAAGTAAAAATACTTCATTTAATTTATTTATGTTTTTTTGTTTTATATGTAATAAAAACATTTCGGCTAAAAATTAAATCGAGAAAACTATTGGAACGACCAGTGCCAACTCGTCTAGTCGGCTTGAGCCTTAACCAATCTTTACGACTTTAGGGCCGGACCTCGAAAATTATTAATTAAATAAATATATAATACCCGCATTTGTGTTTGATGATATATGAATTATAAATAATTTAAAAAATAGATAAATCCCTTATAAGATAATTAATTTCTTATTAGATGTTAATTATTTAATTAATATTGAATTACTCTTCCTCTATTAATTGGGTTATCAATCATAACTCGAGTTTACGACTCGATTTGGCAGTGTAAAAAAGTAAATATTATAAAATATTTTTTTAAGGAATCTAATATTTTTTTTTATTAATTAAATACGATAATTATTTCTAAGTGAATGTTGAACTAAGCATCCTCCAGTTTTTAATTTGGGTTCCTCAATCACAATTTTAGTTCATGGACTTCAGATAGAACAATCTAATATTATTAATGATAATTATTATTTCTATCCTAATATTGAAATTTGATTAAGTAAATTTACTCACAATAAACTAATATTATAAGTTGGTTTGGGGTTAGTGCTCGACCCATTTGGTTAGTTTTGGTTTCTAAAAAATAATTTTTATTTCTTACATAGATAATAAATTTATAAACAAAGTCTTTTCTAAAAAGCCAAATATCATTTTTTCATACAATCTTTACATAATTTATATAACTAAAATTATGTATGACTAATATGGAATTAATACTCATTCAAAAATATATTAAACCTTCAGCACATTTTATATTTAAAAAAAAATATCAAAAATATTTAATAAAAATATAAAATTATATCTGGAAGATGGAGTTTTATTTATTAATTTATTTTGAAATATCTGTCTAAAATTTTACAAATAAAAAAAATAAATATATAAAATATAAAAAAAGACTCATTCTATAAAAACGGAGGTGGGACTACAAGTTCCCAAAAAACATGCATATAATTGTTTAAAATTGTATTTTTTTTAATTTTGTTTTATAAAATAATATTCTTTAGGTTCTGATGTAAGAGCTCTTATTTTGCCGTCTATATTTCTTAAAAATTTTAAAGTTCTACTTAACATATGTCCAAGTGAAGAGATAACGATAGTAAAGAAAATATAATTTGTTAATTTGGAATATTTATTTGTTTTTTTTTCGGCTATATCAACCTGGTCAGTAATTTTTTGGAAATGAAGAGACGCATGTGAAGACCCAGATTATGGATTTACCTAAAGACCATGGCACAGAAGTTAAGCCATCAGGTCTTAGGCCATCATCAAATGATAAATATGAAGTTCTAAAATACTTCTAAAGAAATCATGAAAACGATTAATAATTTCACTATTTAAAAAAAAGGATGAAGATCTAAAAATATCTAAAATCTTTGGTAAAAAAAATAAAATATTTACAAGTCCTACTGAGCCTTTAAAAAAAATTTTCGTGAATACCTCACAGTTGGAAAAACTGCTTAAAGGTGAATCAAGAAGATTAATCTAACTTTCTTTAATGATTTTAAATTCCTGGACTTCGACGGCATTTGAATTTAAAAAGAATATTTCAGATTTAACTTTATTCAAAGTAAGACCTATATTTAGAGAATTCTGCTCTATATAATCTATCACTGCTAGAATATTTTTAGAAAGTTTGCAGATGGTGCATCATCCAGATACACATTTTTATGTCTAAATTAAAGGTTCTTAAAGAATGAATTAGGTTATGTATGCCTACGCTAAATAGAGGGCCCAAAGGGTCTCCTTGCTGTATATTTTCATCAGAATGAATTGTATATTCCTCAAATTTGAGAAAGGTTTTACAGCCATATGACTGTTCAGTAAATCTTCCATAAACTGGAAATTTTTTGTAGAATTATCGGGAATAGATTGTGGATAATGTTAAAAAATACTTTTCTGGATAAAAAATTAAAAGCATTTTTAAAATCCAGCTTGCAGCGTCTGGAGGAGGATCTCAATATATATATATTTATATGTTGATATGATTGGAACATTTTCGAAGCATCTTGATGCGCTCAACGATTATCTTAGCTAATAGACTCCTAAAAAAAACCTATTGAAATCGGCCGAACTCTCCCATCAGGCTTAGATAGTGCAATTAATCTTGCACCAAAGAGAATTTAGTGAACTTGACTAGGTAAATCATTGTTCAGTATATATTCGTTAAGTATTACAAATGAATCCTGAGTAGGATTTTTAGGGTTAATTAAAAATTGAAAATTAGAGGTCAATTCCCCCTGCTGAGTTTTTTTTAGAAGATAAAACAGTTTAATAAGAAAGATGAAGACACTATAAATGATAGTAACCCTTCTCTTAATAACCCCATTTATTGGATTTTTGTCCCATCTACGTATTTTAAAAATAATGACAGGGATACTACATAAGTTCTCCCTTACCTATTTCGATTGAATTAGATTTTATAGGAGTGAGAAGATCTTCAGCAAAAGCCTGAGGATGCAATTCTTTCAATAGAGTGAAAGTATGTTAATCAAACGGGGCCAATTTTTTATTAGATGAAGCCAATTTGAGAGCTCCTACACGTCCCATTGGTCTATTTTTTTGAGATTATTTTCCATTTGTGCGCAAAATCAGAAGTAGCCCTTACATCAGGTACATAATTTTTCATTTCTAATAAAAATGGTCTATTCTATTTTTAATAAAATCATGTAAAGCAGTTTTTTTATATTTTAATAAGTAATCTATAATAATAAAAAAAAAAAATCTGTAGATTTAAATAAGATTTTAAAAGAAAAAGTTAAAAGATTTTCCCATGCTTTAAAGGGAATTTAAATTTGAATTAACTTCCATAATAATTGTTGTTAAAAAAATTAGAAATTAAAGATCTTTATTTAAAAGTTAGCTGGATTAAGGTTGGTGGCTTTTCCCAAAAAAATTATCATCAAAATCAGGATAAAAAATTTTGAGTTACAATGGGAGGTTGTTTCAATTTTGTTGTAAAATTTCATTTGAAAGAGGGGTTTACTTAGAGTTTAGATGGTTTTACTCTGGGCCCATGTTTATAAAAACATATAGCCTGTGTCAAAGTTATATTTCTATGACAAGCATTACAAATGCTTTGACATACCCACTTTAGAAGAAGAAAAAAATATTAGTGGTTAAAAGATTGAAGTAATGTTTAAAATAAAAAAAAAAATTTCTTTTAAATAATATAAATAAAAATTAACTTAAAATCTAAAAGATTGAAAATATTTTACTGATTAAGATGGAGGAATTTGGATGTTAAGGATATTTGGCAATAAAAAAAAAAGGAAAGTGTTATTATATTTAAAAAGTAAATTCGACGAAATGAAAAGACATGGTGTTCGAGCAAGTTATATATTAAATAGAATTGTATAGAAATGATGGGTGATATTTTAAAAAATTACATAAAAAGAATGTTCCATAGAGGACTATATAGATTACATCAAATATATTTTAGACCATGTATTCCAGATATAAA